ATGGATTAGTGAAAGTGAGGGGAGGGGTGATAGAAAAAAAAAGGACTGTTAAGACAGAGAGAGAGAGAGGGGGGTAATATTTAGCACGAGAAGAGGAAATGTGTGTGTGTGAGAGAGAGAGAGAGAGAGAGAATGAGAAGGTAATATTTAGAACGGGAGGACAAAATGTGTGTGTGTGTGTGTGAGAGAGAGAGAAACAGAGAGACAGACGATAGACGATAGAGAGAGAGAGGGAGAGAGAGAAACAGACATAGAAAGAGAGAGAGAGAGAGTGGTAATATAATAGAGAACATGGAATGAAGGCATGAACAATGGATGAAAACACATGAAATGTAACACAATACATGAATATTAAAGAAAGTGTCAAAACACATGCAGTTAACATGAAAACTGAACAATACAATAGTGTATGAACTCAAGATCATTGCAAATTTTGATATATAAATGTAAAAAATAGTACATATATTACTAAGTGTATGTTAATGATTTTCGAAAATAAGCACCGCCAAATTAAAGCCCACTATCCACAGAAAACTGGCTCCTTGAAAAGAGAACACAAATCCACCCGTGCCCAGCCCAACATCAGCACGTTCTCCCTCACACGCCCCAGTCTCCTCCGATCAACGAATGTCATTCACGTCGGAGTAGAGAAGTAGTTCATCAACATCAGCAGTGCTCTAAACACCGGACTATTTAGACCCCCGATCCCGACATCAAACGTCCCAGTAGTTATCCGTACATGCTGATCCCTTAACCCTACCACCTCCTCTAGCATCAACATCCGTTGGAGCTTATACATCACCGAGCGAAGGGGTGCGCATCTGCGGCGCGCAAGGGGTTAAGACGGTCTTTTTGCATCTCCGCTGCGTCGGATGCTGATGCCATTTTCATCGGAGAGCTGAGCGATTCGGTCCCCATCATTCAGACGGAATATAGGGGCCTCATCCCGGTGGAGTACAGCTACTGGTACTTGCATCTCGCAGACCCCCAGCTCAGGATTCGTTGGAAGAAAGTCGCATACCAAGGTGGGTTATAGCGGTAGCATTACGGTTTAATTTGATTTGATTTGATGTATATTTATTTACCTATTCATCACAATAATTTCAATAAGATTTTGACTATATATATATATATATATATGTATACCTTGTTCGCGTATAACATACTACGGATATATCACAAGCAACAATTGAAGCAACTTAACATTTATGGTCCTCACACAGCCCATAACGTAAATCACACGCAGCTCTAGAGCGGCGCATCCGAACTATAAAATGGTCGGAATTGAAACCAGATTTGCTATTGCTGCGTTACTGGTTCATGCCGACCCGGAAACATTAAATGTTGCAAAAACTCATTTAGGTTTGATACCAAGGATATGTGGATGACAATAAATTGCAGAAAGGAATGTGCTCGAGTTGTTTTGCCGAGCTCGCGTTCTGCGAAGCAGCATCTTATCTTGAGGCACCAGTACTTTTCATAAATGACTTCCCATCCCTCCTGTAAGTACATAAAAATAAACTTCATTCCAAATTAATGATGGGGAGTTTAGGTTTGTATTATTAATTACGGAATCACTTGTATTTGATTTAGAGACTGTTTACTATTTACATAGAATTCCAATCATTGTGAATATATTAATATTTGTTGTCCAATACTTTAATACCTAAAATGATTAATTGAAAAATGGAATCGACACTTTCTAATGTCACACGATTTTCAAAGACATTTATGACTGTTTTTGTTTTTATTGTTAACGTAATCCAAGATTAAGAGTTTTTTTTCAAGGGAGTTGATGATATAATGACATAAGCAAATGAATGAAATATGGAAGAACTGTATTTGATTCGTTTTTTTCATTGATTAAACAGACATTTGGATACATGACATCTATATAGAGCCTCTATCATTTCATTCCTTGTCACTTATTTATTGTCAACATTTCACTATATGAAAATACCAAAAGTAAAACAAGAATAATGTACATTCCGAAATATACAAATGAAAACAGAAGGAAACAAACATACAAACAAATAAGTAATTGATTGACGAAAGGGAGAAATAATGAGTAAACTAGTATGTGATTTGGTTGATCCCCAGAAAAGTAAAATAATACCATATCAGTCAAGAATGTTTATAACTACGGCTGCTAGGTATATAATTAAATCTGAAAGATAAATATGATAATAATTATAATAATTATAATAAATCTGGATTATATTACGCTCAATACGGATTACTGTGATTAGATCGAAGATAGCGCGGGACATATTGTCTCACGATTCCTTTTACTGTAATTGTATTACAAAATAAAAACTGATGGAAGCTATTCGAATTTTCAAAGTATAATTTGAAGCGCCTTGAGCATTTAATTAAAATGGATAATGGCGCTATATAAATCTCATGTAATATTATTATTATTATTATAATGAAATAAAGGATTACACATTGTTGCCGATCAAGTTGACAGTTTGTCTTTCTTACCTCTTTGCATGAAATACTGGTTACAATAATTGCTAGTTAATAGATAAAGTTTATAGCTTCTCAAAACTTTGTTGACTAGATGTATATTGATCATAAACAAAATCATTGATCAATCTGTTTTGGTCAGTAGATTTCTGAGAAGGTATACATTTTCTATTTCAGGAATGTTTCATAGTGTCAAAATAATTTCATGAAGAAAAGAAAAGAAATTTGGTATATTTTGGTGAGATTCAAGGTAAAATGCTTTTTGGAAGTTAAATCGACACTATTGACTATTCAACCGTTTTGATAATTCGGCATGAATCTTTATACATAAATCATTATATAAAAAGAAAATGGAATCTGTTGATAAATCATGTACACGAAAATGATAGTGTACCTTTTTATTATATTTTGAAGGAGTCGGGTAATCTAAAACCATTTTGGACAATATATAAATGTTTTGTTTTGATGGGTAACGGAAAAATAATTACACTCAATAAAATACATTGTGATAAAATAAGTGACACTTTATTATCTTTCCTTAATAATAGGCCTAGTCTAATTGATATGATACTACATTTTCATGGTTGTGAGGTAATCACGCTTTGTTTACCAATGTTTGCGACAATTGCTTTTCAGTCCTTTTTATCATATAAAGTATTTACATTTTACACAATGTTTTCGGAAAAAATGTAATACCGACTCCCCGAGTGGAGACCCAGTCGGCTCGGAAGGTCAATAGCAAGCTATCTCGGGCGCCGAATCGATTTAAGGGTCGTTCAAAACAGCTACATCCGGGATACCTTAGGGTATCGTAAAACATTTTAAAGCGCATAAAACGAGCAAGTTAACAGTAATGAAAGTCGTGAAAACACAACTCGAATCCAAGAAATGTAATTTTTGTTGATCCAGCAAAATTATTGTCTTTCATTTCCTTGTATTGCTGTGTGCTAGGCATTAATCAAATTTGGAGGTTATTTGTAGTTACAAACTAATGTTTCAAAACATAAGTCTCTTCTTTTTACGTATTGAGTAATGCCTTTCTTTTTATCAACATTTGTACATTTTCTTCCGAGTGTTTGCAATTTGATTATTCAATATTTTTTCTTTTGTTTTTAGCGCCTACATTATTTTCTCCCTTTCCCTTCCCCCTCTCTAATTTGTTATATTTGCCTCTCTCTCTCTCTGTCTCACCACCTCTTTCCCTCTCTCTCTCTCCCTCACTCACTCACTATTCTCCACTACATGCTCTCTCTCTCTCTCTCTTTCTCTCTCTCTCTTTCTCTCTCTCTCTCTCCCTCTCTCTCCCCCTCTTTCTCTCTCTCTCTCTCCCTCTCTCTCTCTAAATTTCTATCATAACTTTGTGTATGTGTGTGTGTGCCACTTTTTCTCATTTACTCTCCCTCTCTCTTCCTCTTCATCTTTCCCAATCTCTCCCTTTTAACCCTACTCTCTATCTCTCTCTCTCTCTCTCCTTCTCTCTCTCTCTCTCTCTCTCTCTCACTCTCTCTCCCTCCTTTCTCTTCCCTCTTTAGTAGGAAAATGTGTTGTATTGGTATCCTACCTCTTTCGTTAGACCAAAATATATTGGCCCAGTTGGTCCTACTTATTTGTATATCACTATTTATATATGCATACATTTGTGTATGTAAATTGAACAGTTTTAGCTATCGAGTTGCATGTTTGATATAATTTACAATGAAGCAACCAATACTACGTATCTATGGATGTTTTGTTTGGTCAAACAAACTCATCAACTTTGTTTTATTCCTTTTGGTCATTATTACTAGTGGTATATTTATTTATCCCTTTTAGTATTTACAATTACAGCGTGTAACTGGATTTCCTTGTCAGCATATCCAACCTGACTCAGTGGTCACAAAGCAAATTTGACTTCTATAATTATATTCCATTTGCTAATGCCATCAATTCCTGTCATTTATATAGGCAATGTTACAGAGAAAAGCTATTTTGTTAAATTATCAAAGTCATTTATTCACTCAAACAGACTTTTCTTGTCCCGACTGTATTCACCTATATTATGAACCTCATTTTCTCCTATACCGGCCGGCGGCATAATATTATTTTATATTTAGAAAAATACAGCTATTTGATAATTTCTCCATTATTTTTATAATAAGGTAGATCAAGAGCTGTCAGGCTGGCCTCGCATCTCCTTGGATAGATACGATTTTTAAATCGTTTTCTTTAGATATCAAAGCAGTTTTAAGACATAATAACATTTAAGATTCTTGGGAATGGAATTGCAAATCCTTCTGAAAACCTCATAAATTATTATAAAAAAACGTATCAAAATAATAGACGAATACGTCTAAGAAACCCCTGATTATTTCATCAAAACTCAAAGCATGTATCACCTAAATATTACTGGTATCTAATTTCTTTTTAAAAAGAAGTGATAATTGATTTTCGCTCGGTAATATACCAATGCATGAACTATAACATCACCGTCACCGTGTTCGTGATTTTCACAGCTTACTGTTTACATTTTCTTTCATTTCATTTGCAGATGTGTTTGCTTCATATGTCTTAATGAGAGCAGTCTCTGGATAATTGCAAGACAATAAATATAAAGGCTTAAATGACAGTGCCTAGGTGGATTTGATAAATGTCTACGTATAACATCATTATTGTACATATCAACAGTTGAAGGAATACATGTACTTTGGGTTTAGAAGCGAAGAGACAATGTACCCATACAGTGAAATAACGTCTGACGGCTACTCACTATCTTTGAACGAAGGCAACGGTCACTCCTGCGCTTACGCCTCAGCGCACTGCCGAGGCCGAAACGACCAGGACGCTGAACGCAACGACGCCATGATCATCGGCACGAACAACGCTTCCATGACGGGATCGCTCGACAACGGCTATAGCCATCACCACCATCACCACCACCGGCACTCGCACGTCCTGGCCCCCGTCGGCGGGGCGGAGCACGGCGAGCGACGATGCTTGCTGTGGGCGTGCTCGGCATGCAAAAAGAAAAAGAAATCGAGCCTCTTCGACAAGCGGCGGGCGGCGACGCAACGGGAGAGACGGCGACTCTGCAAGGTGAACTCCGCCTTCGAGATCCTCAAACAGCGGACTTGCTCAAATCCAGAACAACGGATGCCAAAAGTGACTATTTTGAGGAATGCTATACAGTATATCGAAAGATTGCAATTGATGTTGCACGAAGCCGATGACCAGGAGGCCTATTTGAGCTCGTATGGGGGCATGGATTGCAGGGATATTGATCTATGTGATGAGGTAAGATGACAACTTTTAAAAGAATGTGATCAACAATGTATGGATTTTTTTTTCTTTCACTGAACCCTCATTATCTTCATTTTCACCTTCCTATTGACCGTCATCGTCGTCTTTGCCAATAACTTTAATAATGACCATTACATAATTAGCGCAATTTTTATACTCGCCTTTATCATGAGTATCCTCACTATCATATTTTTCGTCGTCATCGTCATCACCACCACCACCACCATCATCGATATCGACATCCCTCTCATTAACCCCATCATCACCATTACCTGTATCATCATAATATGATAACCATCATCATTGTTTTTAATAAATCTAAACCAATGCCAGCCCCATCACCACAACTACCATCAATCATCACCACCATCACCATCATCATCATCATCATCATCATCATCGTCATGAACATAAATGTGTTGACGTAATTACATCTTTCAATGAAATGAGCAAATGCACATTATACAGACGCTACTTACCTTCAGGCTTTAGCCTAATTCTTAAATTAATGTAGGAACGTACTTTTTTGAAGATCGTTAGAAGGGAAATCCTCACTGATATTAAGTTGGTTTTCATAAAGGCAAACAAAAATGATAAAAACAAGTAAGTAAAAGTTTGAGCAAAACTCGAATAAAAATAGAAAAAGTTATGAATGTTTGAAGTTGTCATTAGTAGGCTCGAATTAGCAACACTGTAACGTATCATGCGCCGCGTCTCCAATTTCCTCTGTACAGAAAATGCCATATACTTTCATTTCGATTCAATTCAATTTTATTTCCCAACTCTCTAAAAACACATCAGAAGATATACAAACAAATCAGTATAAATTAAACAATATACAAATAGAAGCATTCATTGATATGGTACTACGGAGGAAGGATGAAGGGTGGTGGGTGCGAGAGATCAGCAAAGGCCATTGGCCTGTCAAGGCTGATCCCCGTTATTACCACCCTTCAAGAGATATACATTATTAAACAAAAAAACAATAGAAAAAAAAACAATCAAACAAAAAGATAATATAACATAATCACATAAAACATAACATAATTAATTATATAAATCACATAAAAGGCAATTGGATCAAATAAAACTACTCACTATTAAGAAGATACTATTTATATTTTTTCCTGAATGCGAGAACAGTTGATGTTGCTTTTAAAACATTTGGCATCTTAGTTATTGATGACGGAATGGATTTGTTTTATACAAACATATTTGAATTATGACATTTAGGGACAATACATGAATCAAATCAATCGCAACTCCTATATCGTATATGAACTCTTTACAAAACAGGGAACTGGATGATAAGTGACAACATCGACAACTTTATGTGCATCATCAAATCCATTAAAATTTGTCATAAACTAAACCTAATAAAATCTTAATAGCCTTGCGCGTTTTTTTATGTGTGAACAAAAAAAAATTCATACTACGTAATTACCATCTGTGGCATGTACATTTGCAATGCAATAGCGTATTTAAATTGCCCATCAGTTGATTGACTAAAATAATTTGTGATCATATTCATTGATTATTGATATGATTAAACACGTAAGTGATGAGAAAGGGGTTAATTTCTTAAATGGCATTTTGCTAGGTGATCTTGTTCTAACATTTAATGAAAGCTTCTTTGCCTTTTAGATGGAATTAAAACATTATGAAACGATATATTGAATACAAGAATCTTTCTGTCAGCGATTAAGTTTGAAATTCCGATTTCTTATATAGCTGTTACCAGGATGCTGGCGTGGTTAGTTGGTGTTATAAGATGATGAAGCGGATCCTGATCAAGTGATTGATCCAAATACATCAATCAACCTATTTACTGTTGGATCTCTATTTGTTATTATTATTATTATTATTATTATCATTATTATTATTATTATAAGTATTATCATTATCATTATTAGTACATGTATTTTTATTATTATTATTATTATTATTATTATTATTATTATTATTATTATTATTATTATTATTACTTTGAATATTTGGGTCAATCGCTTCGATCCCCATTAAAACCTTGTCCACTTTTCCCGGTCAAAATATATTTATGTAATTCCAAGATGCACACAATATCATTGCTTTATCTTCTTTTATTCATAAAGAAATATTACAATAAATTGAGATGTGTTATTGATATAATTACCATATTCAATTTTTAACAAAACAAGAAAATCAATATATGGACCTACGCGTAAACATAATACTAACTAGGCATGACCGCAATGTAAAGTGCACCGTTTAGTTCTATATCACTACGATTACAAACCAAGAAGTGCATTTGTATGTCATGAACTTTTGTCCTGCAGTAATTCTACAGGGTGTTTCAATAAACCGTCCCTTCTAAATACAACGTACTTCCAAGAAAGAAAAAAAAGGAAACTTGTCATGTCAAGAATAAATTTGATTTTGTCCATGTAAGGATAGAATAATTCCTTACACTACGAAGGCCAATTTTTTTTAAAAAGATTATTATATATATACATTAAATAGATTATGAGCTTTTTTCGAACTGATAATAATTTTCCTCATGTTGTATACTTTTCCTCCCGATGGTCATGTAACTGTTATTACACCAGCAATGTTAGGTTCACTTTAATAGCAAGGAAGCATCTCTTTAAGTGTGTACGCACTTAACGAGGATCGAACTCAGGACCTTTTGAATAAGAGTCACAAGCAGTTACCTTCACCTAAATCTATAGCTCTATTATGCATTTATAAACTTGCACCCTTTTTTTACGAGGCACCTTGTACCTTGTGAGACGTATCGAACCCTCGGCAGACAACTCCCGCCCAAAATAGGAATGCTATTATGAAGATGTTTTCTTAAGATGCCTGTCTTGTCGTATCTTCTAGAAACTTTGCGTCCTTCAGCTAGCAATGCTCGATGTGTATGCATCGAGTAAAATAGGTACATGGCGATGAGCTGGAGATCCTTGTCATATGTTAGCATTGAAGTTTTTTTTTGCTTCACTAATCTTGACATTGGTAACATGCTCCAGTGTATACCTTTACCATTATAGAATTAGCAAAACGAATATTACATTCCTGATAAATATGTAATTATAACTTCAGTCTTATTCAACTAATAGTAAAAATTCTTATTTGACTTGATCATTTGGCAAATGGGTTTAAATTTTCCAACTAATCAGAATTGTTAAATCATTCGGAGTAGTAGAAGTAGTATTCCGCTCTATTGAAGAAACAAAATACATTTATATAATATAAATCAATTCAGCCGTACGAGGCACGACACGGATGGCCTTCCATCTTGTCAAGAAATATACAAATATGATAACAAAAAATTAGAAAACAAAAACAAAAACAAAGACACACACATATATATATATTATATATATATATATAATCATGAAATACAGCATAGCCTTCAAATATTTCGCGATACAGGATCATGCTGATTATGGTATCGTATTTACCGGTCAAGTTCACTTACAAATCGCTAAACCTGAAGTTAATCCCCGTCTGCACTGGTCTGGCCTTGGGGTAGTCCTCCGTTCGTGGTCACTTACAGGTGATTATCTCATCAAATCAGCTCTCAATTAACATAAGAAAAAGGGAATCATGGGGGACCAACGGTCACCGATTGACATTTTTTGATATATAGAGGGCGCAAGTAGCTATAAGTAGTACAGTGGGACTTTAAAGGAAGACAGTGCCCCCTGGCCAGCCAGCTAGCCTGGAGGACAGGTTTGCATCCGCCAGGTCCAGGATCTTCTCGAGCCGGTGTCGAAGGATGAAATGCTAAACCGGCAAGGTGTTGTCCCCGTCGTGCTGTTTGTTTATCTCGACCCGAGCCAGAGCACTCTCAAGTACTCGTACAGACCATGGATTATGATATTCATGTACGTCTTCCAGAGGAAAGTGCAGATGATCCCCTCTTTGCTTAAAGGGTAGATCATGTTCTCTGGGAGACACCTTTAAAATAGAGAAAATATTGGGTGAACGTCGTTGTTCAACCAGGGATAGGCCAGGTTCCCATAGAGACACCTTTAAACTAGAGGAAATATTGGGCGAAGTTTGATGTATTACCAGGGGCCCGTTTCATAAAACTTTTTATGAATAACAAATGCTGAATTTCTATGACAAATTTGCGCTCAGCCAATCAGATGCCATGATTTCAGTAGCTTATAGCAGTAGCTTGTAACTTGTTATTGATATCAAGTTTGCTCTCAGCCAATCAGATGCCATGATTTCAGTAGCTTATAGCAGTAGCTTGTAACTTGTTATTGATATCAAGTTTTATGAAACAGGGTCCAGGGGCGGTTTCTGAAGGTGGGTTCTGACAAGCTAAATTATGAAGGGCCGCCTAAATAATGTTTCACTTTCTAATCTCCTTTTTATTTAATTCCTTTTCTCAAGCCAGATTGTACGGATAATTGTTTCGGTTTGAATTGTAAAAATGGGCAAACTTCTCTCGTATCTACTTCAGGTACGTCACGGGGGTTTTGAAAAAGGGGTATTGGCTGGTTGTGTCCCCTAAATCGTTTAATGTTGACAAGTGCCCAACCAAAGTACGGGCAGAATTTGGCAATGAGTTGTGCCAAAATGCTAATAATTTAAGAAAATGGAGAACGTGATCATTACCTCCATGTGCACTTTTTGTTTTTATACGGGTTGGCCTTCAAGATTAACTGTCTCTAAAACAAGACTCAGGCGGTCCATGATCCGACATTCGTTCGTCCCGGTGGCAATTAACTATTTGACTAACATATTTAGTTTGTATGCATATTTATTTTTAAAAAGTTTGTTGACAACCTGAAAACTTGCCTGAGGCTTGCCCGTAATAGCACCAGATAATGTATGCACATTGGATTTCAAGTATTGTAGTTCATTAATTGATAGCAGGTTAATAAATATTTCATCACTTTTAAAGTCCCCAGGAAAGAAATATCCATAACGTTGAATATATTAGTATACCGATCTATTGCTCAAGGCCCGGCTTTATTTCGTCAAAGATGTACGGACAATATTGCTACTAGACTTTAGATTGAGCTAGGATTAGCAAGTGGGGTAGAAGTTCCGAGTTCGGTCGGTGTAGGAAATTGACCGAGGACATTGACAAGGGTTCTACTTTGCTGTGGTCTCATTGAAAATATCAAAAAAAAAATTAATAGCGCAAATAAAAAATAAACTAAAGAGGATGACAATGACCGAACCCAATTGCATATTAATTAATGGGTGACTACAAACAATTAAGGACGAAAAGGAAATGCTTTTTTTTCTCCCATCCACCAGACTAATTAAGGATAAAAAAGCAAGAACGAAGATTATGAATATCAACAAAAAAGGGAACAAAAGCGAAATACAGACCACTTAGCCCGTTACCGCGTACAGGTGTGCTGGTAGTAAATACCCCCTCTTACCGGTGGGGTGCAGCAACTAACCCCCTTGGGGTAAACCATACCTGATCTCTTAGGATTGACAGGGGGGTTGGTATTTCTTTCTTAATCTAGTAAGACTGATCCGCGGAAAACGGCGGCTTCCGCGGACTTTACAGGTACGTGGCCGGACTTGTGCAAAATGTCGTTGAAATTGAAGTCCTCCACAAGGAACACTGGACAGCATTCTCGTCCACTTGAAGTAGAAGAACAAATCCTCTCTTTTCTATGATTTGAATGCAAATTTTAATGACGCAAGTAACCAACAATCACTTGGAGCTAAGTTATAGATCATTTATGTGGCTACGCGTCGAAAATGGGACGTAAAAAATCCCCCCCCCCTCTCATAAAGGAAACATAAAAAAAGAAAAATGTAAAGACATTTTTCAATTTTTCGAGACGCAACTGTGAAGCCGTGAAGTCATATTGCCATGAGCATAGTGAAATTGTAGCTATTGATAATTCTGACAATAAGTTTGAAATAAATAGTTAAAAAAAGACAATTATCATTATTTTGTTATACCTAATTTTACTATACCATTGTGGTCTGTTTAGGCAGGCTTTCATTTTGATTTGCAACGTCATGTCACTCAGTGGCATACGGGATTGTGTGAGAGTATGGATTTGTGAATGTTATGTCCTTTTCGGCAGTGTTTCGCTTGCTAATTTACTTTGAAGAAAGAAAAAACAACAGTAACAGGTATTCACAAACTGGGACACTTTCTTTAAGATAAGGCTCGTTTTCCTCATCGACACAATTTCAAGGCCGCGGTTTGCCACCGCGGTGAGTAACTTTCGAGCGGCTTGAAGAGAGCCTAACGGAGGTGTGAAGTGGCAGGTCGCATTTGATCCCTCCGAAGATGGACATGGCGTTCATATACTCGTGGTATTTCGGGAGGGGTGGAGAGAGAGAAAGGGCAGGACATTGTATCTAGAGTGATGTTGTTTCGCCGTCATGCGAGAAAATTCCGCCATTGTTTCCAAAATAATTCGGGAGGAAAATATTTCACACCTTGTAATTTCCGTTCCAATCTCCTTCACCCTTCAATCCCTCTTCTTCTCTCCTCCTAGCATGATTTTGAGAGATGGAGAGTGAGAGAGTAAGAGATAGAGAGAGAGAGAGAGAGAGAGAGAGAGAGGGGAGAGAGAGAGAGAGAGAGAGAGACAGACAGACAGTGATACATCGAGATGGGAGACTGAGAACGCAAGGCAGAGTGAGAGTGTGAGAAAAGGAGAAAGAGATAGAGAGAGAGAGAGAGAGAGAGAGAGAGAGAGAGAGAGAGAGATGGGGCGGGGTTTAATCATCGTGATCATCTTCGAGATTTAGCCGTTTGACCTAGAAGATGAAGGAGGAGGAGAATAAGGAGGAGAAGGAGAATGAGAAGAAGAAGGAAGGGGAGAGAAAGACACGGAGAAGAAGAAGAACTTAGGAAAAGGATCAGGAGAAGAAGAGAAAGAAGAAGAAATTAGAACTATGGTCTATTGTATTGATTTATAGGTCTAGTTTATGGGAGAAAGACAATGTTTTGTTTTTTGCTGCTTGAAACTGTTTAACGATTCTATTAACTACTCTATCTGAGTATAATCTTACACAATAGTTAACTTTAACAGCCAAGATTGTTTAGATCACAATGTTTATTATGTCTCGTTTTAGATGAACTAAAAGCCTAAACGAAATGTAAAATCATTAAATATTTATCGTTCTTAATCCTTTCCAGAATAACTCCCTACTAATGCGTGTAATTTTATAGCTATACCCGGTTCGCATTGTCCACATTGTGTGTAACATGTCTAATATAGGCTTTCCTTTTTTCTCATCTCAATCACATGGTTTTGTTTGGTTTCGAAAGAAAATGAGTACTTCCTCTACCAATACCATGCATTATGTTTCTTTTCTTCTTTTCTTTCCTCTCATTGGGAGTGAGAGAAAGAAAGAGAGCGAGTGAGAGAAAGAGGGGGAGACAAAGAGAGTGAGAGAAAAAGAGGGGCAAAGAGAATCTGCCACGATCCCCTTCTAAATAAAAAAAATGATTGATCTTCGTAAGCTTTATTGAATTCATTCAATGAATTCGAAAATGCCATACAATGTATTGAATATACTTCCTTATAGTCTTTGATGAATCCCGTCTACATTTTTTCTTCTTCAGATAAGGCACGGAGGAGGCATGATGAATGGAGGGAATCATCCGAGTCTTGGGCATGAGACTAGCTGTAGAAGAGGTGAGATAGACATGTCTATTGAACACATTTTATTTGTTTAATTCAATTTCTTCTTCTTTTTTCTTCTTCTTCTCCTTCTTCTACTTCTTCTTCTTTTCATTATTATCATTAGTAGTAGTATAGTATCAATATTGTCAGCATTATCGTACTACTCTATACCACTACTACGAGTACTACTACTACTACTACTACTACTATACTACTACTAATACTACTAGTACTACTACTACTACTACTACTACTACTACCACCACTCCTTCTACTACTACTACTACTACTACTACTACTACTACTACTACTACTACTACTACTACTACTACTACTATTACTACTATTTGTATTACTTCTCCTGCTACTAGCATGACTATCATCAGTTCTTCACTCTACAGTAGCCGTGACCATGTAATAAAAGACATAACTGCTACACAAATAGTACTTTTCTTTAATCATTTCATATATGGTTCTTTGACAGATTTCGAGAGGGGGGGGGGGAGCGGGGCTTTGGTTTATTTTTCACTTCATGTTTATTCGTCGAAAGGATACTCATCGCCATTGCTTTATTGTGATTAATGTTATCCTGTATGGGATCCAATGTTATGCCAGCTTGCAAGCGATAGAAAGGGGGCAACCGTCACAGCAATATAATAATTTCCCCAAATATTACGACTTGTCCTTGGGACCCGACACTTTCCCCGGGGACGAGGTTGCTGTCATTGTCGGATACCATAGCTCATGAATCAAACCGAGCGCGATGTGGCTGCGCTGCCGAGGTGATATACGACAAGGTAGTGGAGGAGACACCCGGGCGCCGTGGGGTGCTGGCGTTGTAGCATGCCGCTCGATCCCAAGGCCCACGGTCTTTTATTTTCTTCCATATTTCCCGAATGACATTCGTAATCATTCTTCTCTTGATGTTGCGTGAGAGACTCAAATTATGCTTCACGAATCAACGGAAGTATTTTTTTTTTCTTTATCAATAAAACTTATGTCATGTTTATGTTTTTGGATGGGTATTTCGTTTTGTACTTTCCATTTCATATTTGAATGTAAGCTTGAAATGTCATAAACTAAGCTTACATCTATTAACGGTGAAAATACGATAATATGACGGGGTGGGGGAGGGGTGGCAAAAAAGATCTACGCATAAAGATGGGTGTAGGACCATGTTTACCCACAGGCTTTCGTTGACTGGTCTGAAAAGGCCATATGCAAATGCCTACTGCATTCTATAGAATCCTTTAAAAATGGTGAATAAGAGATAATTCATTCGCAATGCATTAGTATGCATACAAGTACACTAAACGCAAGGCTAGCCAATCGACCCGACAAGGTTTCTAACACACGTACAGTATAACGTATTTTGATTGGTCGATCTGCATAACCATTTTGAACTTCTGTCCAATCGCAGCCTCGTTATCACAGGATTCAATATCTGCCTGTGTATAGGCCACAATGCATGAGCCATGGCTTTAATATGTATCCTGGTAAGTTTATGTCTTGGCTTTTCCACAAAAGGGAAATAGGGATAGGCAAAACAGACAGAAAGTGACTAATAAGCGAAGAATGTGTAGAATTTTGATCAAAGTTACCGAATACAAGTTTATAACTCTAAATAAATTGTCATCAATAATCACCACACCATTAATGTATTACGGGTACTTTAGCATTAGCGATAGCTGTGCATTACTAATGTAATTTTGCTTATCTGTTTAAATTTACATTAAATGTTGTAGCACATTTGATGTACTTAATAGTCAGGGTTCGCAGGTATCAAGCTTTGCTTATCTTGTAGCCCTGGCCAGTTCTGTTTAAAATAAGTTTATATTTCTACAGGATGTATGTATTAATGTATACCGATTGTTTAATCTATTCAGATTACCTGAACAATCAAAGATGAAATGAAATAAAAGATTACAATCTAGACATTTGTCAATTCAAAGTGCGAAATGTCGCTTCCAATCCCCCTTCCCTTTAGGAAGGGCCCTCTAAATAGGAACCGTGTTGGGCTAAAATAATGTTGCTCCATTGTAAAAAAAAAACGTTACTCCCAACGGGACCCGTCATGCCGCCACCCGAACATTAAAAGCTTCCTATTCCTGGGGAGATTTGGGGGGAATGTGAACAAATACGGACTGGAAACATATTTGCCACTTAAAGATAAAAAGTTGAACATTGTTCATGCAATTTTAAGGGAAACTTCGAAAACAATTTGGAAGGGTTGATAATGTGGTACATCATGAATGGGTGTATATTATGAGGCTTTGTAATGATCGACAAAAATGAAAATCAATCGTCCGAGTATTAATTATTGTTAAAAATTGCATACACTGTACAAAGGAATTGATCTATGGGACTACATTCACATATAACACGAGGTTTCACTCGATCTTCACCATGAGGGGCGAATTTCGTCTTCGCTTCAACTATGATATTATTTCAAAGTTCCATGAAAACATTGAGAAAGCTCACGTATTGTTATATATTTTTCAATTCAATTCAATTCAATTCAAATAATTGTATTTCCACAACTCAAAATCCTTTCATAAAATAAATATCAAAAACATTTGCAATAGAACATAGATATGTTAGCATATCATAAATTGAGTCGAATTTGTAAGGAAAAGAGAAATCCACTAAAAATCAGAGCTTATAGTTATATTTGTGTGGCTTACAAGAAATAAAAAATTGGAAGTGGACAAATATATTTGGAAAACCATCTTTTGACTCTTTAATATCTCAGTCTTGCATTTTCACTCGGGCGAACTTGAAAAATGAAATTATAGCATCCTTGAAGCGTTTACTGGTATAAAGTGCACGAACCCATGCGGGCTTTCCCTCTGGAATTGACGAGGCAGACGGTCCCCTGGGGTCGGGGGATATAGGCCTATTGCATGGCGGGGAGGAGGATTGGGGTGGGGTGGGGGATGGGTGGGATGGGGGGGGGGGGCAAGGTCGTCAGCTACAAACTGTTGTGACACTCCCATTTAACAACACAAGGAAATGTATTTAGCATTCCGTACCTCCATGCTAGGTCACGTGGTATCATGGCACCTTATGAAACAAGTCCTAGTAATGTTTTTGAAGGTAACCTTAACTGTCATTTGAAATTTAAATTGAAACGGCCTTAATCTGTAACAATTTGAAGTTTTTGTTTCTTGAATACACATACGTTTAATTATAAACGTGTTCTAGTCAACCCTAATATCATTGCAAAGTAACTAGTACCGGTAGTAGTTTTAAACTTATTTCATAAGTATTGTCGTCATCCTCGTAATCTTGTCTCGCATTGCATTCTGCTAATTTTCCAACAGGTATTTTCAAAAATAACATAACATCAGCCTTGAATTTGGTATTGAAATATTCCTCCTTGAAATAATATGTAATGCAGTGCCCCTAAAAATTGTTTGAGTGGTGGGGGGGGGGTGGGGGATCAACTGGTCAATTCATTTTCTGGATGTGTTTTCTGGTTTGATAGTTGATCATGTCGAATGCCAATTCATCATTATACTGTCTGAATCAGTTTTCTATCTCATCCTTGTTTTCCCCCAGACCAAAATATTTCATCATCATCATCATCATTATCATGACCGCTCACAGTCAACCCCGCCGCCAACTAACGAAATATGCGAGCGGTTCGTTCGCCTCAAGGGCAGGCTGAACTCTGGGGCCGGAGAGCGAGCAATGTCCGTAGCCTTAAAACCTTGCGAGGGAGATTGGAAAATGTACGATGAAAGCGAAGCCGAAATCTAAATGGCTCTCTCGAGGGTGATGCAAAAAGAACTGTAACGGATGTTGTTTTATGGTCATCATTGAGGGGATGAAGGGTATATTCAGGGCGTTTTCGTTGGTAAGGGGGTTAGATACCACAATAAGTTAATGCATGTGCGGACATCTGTATAGGGTATACATTCGCTAAATAAGATGGCCAATACATATTTGTATTATTCGTATTTGGATACAATATAGGCCCTAGGCATAGGTGCATATATGCCTATAATGGCGGTATAACATGTATGTGCACGAATTTCTCTCTTTGTCCTTAAACTTAGTTGAACGCCCCCCCCCCCCCCCCGTTATTTCCCGTCCAGAAAAGGTTCATACTATAAAAACGTGCTAAATAAATATAAATATACTCCAAAGTCTCCATTATAATCGTGATATGGGAACGAATTTCTCTCCTTGTCCATTTATTTTGTCCGATATTTCTCCTCCCCACCCTCTCTTTCTCGCAAACACACTCACGCGCACTCACGCACACTCACGCACACACCTTCTTCTGAATAAATATACATATAATCAAAAGTCTCCATTATATTCGTGATATATGAACGAATTTATCTCCTTGTCCATTTATTATATCGGAGGTTCCTCCTCCCCCCTCTCTCTCTCTCTCTCTCTCTCTCTCTCTCTCTCTCTCTCTCTCTCTCTCTCTCTCTTTCGCATACAAAAACTCACGCACACACCTTCGTCACCCCCCCCCCCCTTCCACCTCTTCCTTCGTCATTTTCACCCTGTCCTTTCCGGTTCTTCATCGCGGTAAACACAGCCAGAAAAGTCATTCTGGAAGCCCCCTCTTGGGTTGCCTAAATCCAACCAATTTAGGCAAAGAAAACAAAGATGTGTGATGCGGAATCTTGGTATGACATCAACACGCCAGGATTGTGAGCTCAAAACCTAGGCCCAGTGTCGGACAAAATCAAGATGGAAGGAATTTTATGTCCCATTTCACCCCATTTTTCGTTTGTCAACCTCATTTAATTTTCAAAAAATGTGAGAAATGAAATTTAGAAAAACCACATTCACGACAACGCGAAATATTAAGGCAAATATCTGAAATACATTGCGGTATAATTTCATTTGTATGCGGTTTTATGGTTTCGGTGAATCATTTCCAACATAATCGACAATAGTATAACAAAGTTGCTGATATTTATTTATAACTGTTTTTTCAGTAATTTTACAACAAGCTTCAAACTGAAGCTTCAAACTATATGGGACATCACACTGTTATGTTTGTGAAACAAAACAAAATAGAAATAAAACGATATGCATTTAGGCATAGTTCAATTATTATTTACGAGAGTCAGGCAAGCGATTCAAGGCAACTTTATGCAATATAATATATCATGAAGACAAATAATAAAAGTTAAAGGGGACATTGATTTTTAAAAACGATGTGCTCAAGATTAAGTTTTCTGGCATTATATGTATTGAAATGCAAAAGTCTCGATTTATTAATGGTATTGTAGAATATCGGATTGATCAAAAGGAAGATAACATATATATATTTTTTTTAGTTTGTCTCCTAAGATTCCTAAGAAAAAGGAAGTTCCGCCACTTATTGAATACCAGAACTTAGAAATATACAGGCCTCAATAATTATGGACCAATGACATAGTGCAGATCGACTAGGTCGAAAGTTCGGACGGACCTAATTTCATATGACATTAACCTGTAGTCCCACTTAACACAAAGGTGGAAAAAAAAAGCCTTCTCCTTTTCGGCATCTTATCCTCCACCTTTCGGAATCTAAAGTCTTGAAAATAGAAGTTAGAAAGGGAAGAAAAGAGAACAAAACAAATAAGGAAAGGTGTTAAGTCCTCTTGCCGTCCTCCGGTGCGGAAAAGAATTGCGAAACTGTCAAACTTGGGAGCCATTCAGGGGCCTTTGTTGGTAAATTCTACCATGGGTCAAATCTTATGATCAACAGAGAGAAAAAAAAAAAAAGTAAGAATAGAAAAAGCAAATTGAATGCTGAAAACGGATAGGAAACCTACTGTTCTCGAGTCAATGCACTATTGATTATTATTTTTTTGATTTGATTTGATTCGGTTTATTGAAATAAAAGAACATGCAGCTGGGAAGCTGAAATAATTCAATTTACAAAGTCAATATACAACACAATAAACGAACAAAATATGAATGACTAAAACGTACGACTATAAATTATGCAAAATGAGAATCAAATATTACATCAATTATGGACTAATTAACGCCTAGTTCGATTTGCATAATTATTTGAAGTTGTTATTTTGTACACTTTCTAGTCGTCACCCTATTCCCATTTATTCATTCACCCAGCTGTCTAAATTGCTGTTAGTTACAGTTTGTTTTATCTAATATTTACCAAAATTGTCAGCTGTTTGCACTGTTTTCCTTGCCTCGCCTTATGTTGCACTGTTTTATAGCCCTAACAGTTCCGAGACACACATTTCGCTCTTTTAAAATTTCCCTTTTCTCATCTTTACTCTCCCCCCCCCCCCCCTGTTGTCACTTTCTTCCTCTCTCTCCTATAATTAGTCAACTAAACTTATTCGGTGCCTTTAGATTTGAATTATGTGCATTATGTGTTGGCAATTTTGGTGCACCACCATCAATTTTAAGACGCATGCCGTAATTACCTCTCCAGTTTTCGTTAAATGACTTCTCCCATCCTCTCGAGAAGGGGTTGCTCTCAAGACTCAACATCCCACTTACGGAATCTTCACCCCCCCCCCCCCTTCACTTCTCCATCCCCTCTTCAGTAGCTCGTGTGTGTTCCATAGCTTCAGGCTGGGTCTCTACACGGGTGATGACGTTCTCTATTTAGGTAACGTCGAGAGATGGGGATGACACTCCACCGCGGCGTATCCAGACATTTTGGAAAATTAAGGGGAGAAGAGGGTGTTTGCGTCTCTTAGTATGAATGTACTTGAAGAGATGTATATCAATAGGCTTTAAAAATAATTATTTATAATGATTATTCATGTCTGAGATAGATAGATCCGAACCATGTTCTTTGTTAATGCAGAACCAGCAAATGACCCTTAGACAATCTCCAAACTTCCATGCATGCGTGATTATGAATAAAAGGCCATTTCGGGCGGCCGGTGTCGTATGTGAATTGAGATTTTTTGCATGTATGAGTTTTCTTTCGTGGTGCTTTTTGATTGATTCTCCCCCCCCCCCCTCCTTTTCAGAAATGTTTCTGCTAAATTTAGTCAAACTTCCCTTTTTTCAAAATTTCAAAAGTTGGCTTCGAATTGACGGGGGGGGGGGGGGGCAAACCCCTAGCTGCGCCCCTTCTAGAGTGGGCCTCTGAACCGTATACGTGAAGTCAAGACTGGTTGCCCTCTCGTCGTTGCACTTTCCCTTTTAGAATAACAAAATAACTCTCTGCTTCTCCCAATGGACAACGAAATGTGAAATACAGGTTCCCCAAAAATATGCAGTCTTTAGTCAATTCATTCCTGAATTCAATATGAAATGAACGTGTTTACGATTTAATTGTCTAATACTCCAAATGTTCCTCTGCTCCACGCGCTACCGATTTACATTTCATTTCCCTCCATTTCCGAATGTTTCCTTGACGATGAAACCCCATTAAACAGTTCTAAAACTATAAACAAACAAAAAAGTTACTATCATTTATCATTAAATTGAATGTTTCAAAAAACATCACAAAAATGCACTTCAAAAACGATAATACAAATAACATTAGCCAAAGATACGAAAAGTTAATTTGGGATAGGCAAGACATTTCATACGTTTGCTGAGATGTAGAAGGCAATAAGTTATGTAATTAAAACTACGTTAATGTCATTCCTACTCCAAACATGCGATATGTAGAGATTTACGTGCACTGCACATGCTAAAGAACAGAAGATTTAAAATTAGCAAACCTTCAAAACATACTCTTTTGCTACTTCAGACTTTTATCTTTAATCCAACTTTTTACACAGGTTTCATCCCTATACACCGACTTGCGTTCACGATTGACAACGTTAAAGCCACAAATTAAGCACTACTTAAGAATATAATGCAAAACCGCTATTCGTCCTGACCAGGGGCGGTCGAGCGACTTCCAAAGTGGGGGGGCACCAACAAAAAAGGGCACTTTCTGAAGAAAAAAGGGCACCTACAGTGGGAAATCTCAAAGCAAAAATATACAAATTTTTAGACATTGTTACATACCCCTGCATTGTGATTACATTATCAGGGATGATTTCAATATTTGTTTCTCTTCATACACCATACAAGATATCGCTTAAGCATCATACTTTACAGTTGGGTGGGATGTCTGAATATGCATTTACGAGCGAGCGAAGCGAGCGAGAAAAATTTTAAAGATCTGCGAGGTCGCAGTGCGAAAAATTACATCTTATAAAGAGGAAAAAAGCCAATCGTGATGGGGTTATAAGCACATTCTCATAACGGAAGACTGAAAAGACCTTTGATAACTAACATAATTATATCATCTTTAAATGCGAGCGAGCGCAGCGAGCGAACTTTGGGGGAAATTGCTCTTAGTCGCTTTAAATAAGGGGCATGTTTAATGATTTCATGAAAAGGGGACAATTATCGAAAGGGATAAGACACTTATTAGAAAAGAAAAGGTGCACGTGTCACAGTACAAAGGATAATTATAAGAGGTGAACATGAGGCATTTTTTTCATCTGAAAAGAGGCACTCACCTGATGAAAAAGAGGCGTTTACGAAAATGGGAAATAGGCATTTGTTGACGGAAAAAGGGCACCCATCAGATTTTGATAGGGGCATTTATAAGAGGTGAAAAGGGGACAGGTCCCTTATTAGAAAGGAAAAGGGGCACGTATCATTATTAAAAAGGGAATTATCAGAGGTGAAAAGAGGCACTGACCAGATATGAAAAGGGGCACTTATGAAAATGTGAAAGGGGCACTTATAATAAAGGAAAATGTGCATTTGTTAAATGAAAAGGGGGCACCGTTCAAATTTAAAAAAAGGGCCGTTATGAGAAGGGGAGGGAGCTTTTTCTTTTTAATGGGGGCACTTATTATAAGGAAAAGGGGCACTTATTAGAAAGGGAAAGCGGTAGTTATGAGAAGGGGAAGGAGCTCTCTCTTTTTAATGGGGGCACTTATCATAAGGAAAAGGGGCACTTATTAGAAAGGGAAAGCGGTAGTTATGAGAAGGGGAAGGAGCTCTCTCTTTTTAATGGGGGCACTTATCATAAGGAAAAGGGGCAATTATTAGAAAATAAAAGGGGCACATGTTAAAATTAAAGGTGTGCTCATCCGAGTTTAAAAAAGGGGTAGTTATTAAAAGGAGAAGGGGCACTTCTTACAAAGGAAAAAAGGCGCAGTTGTCAAAGTAAAAGGAGCACCTCTCAGTTTTGAATAGGGCAATTATCAGAGGTGAAGGGGGCACTTATCAAAAGTGAAAAGGGGCACTTCTCGTACCTAAAAAGAGGCACTTACTAGAGATTAAAAAGGGCACTTATTAAAGATAATTTCAAGATTTATGAGAATGGAAAATGGACATTTATTGCAAAGGAAAATGGGAACATGTCGAAGGAAAAGGGGCACGTGTCAAAAATAAAAAGGGCACTCGTCAGAGGTGAAAAGGGGGGAAGGGGCACTTTTATTTAGTAATAGGGGCACTTGTCAAAGTAAAAGGGGCACTTTTCCTATGTAAAAGGGGCACTTCTTACAAAATAAAAGGGGCACTTTTCCTATGTAAAAAGGGGCACTTTTGGGGTATCTGAAAAAGTGGGGGGGCACCGTGCCCCCCCCCCTGCCCCCCCCCGGGAGAACCGCCTCTGGTCCTGACTGATGTTTACACAGCGATTACAAAAACTACAGCGCGTGCGAGAGTGTCCAGGAGAGTGTGTAAAAATATAACGTTCCAACAGAGTCATGAACATGTACAAATTGTCGGAACAAAGGTGTTATATAATGTAAGGGCGTCGCATGCCCTAAATACTCTGTCGGATTGATTTTCAATCGCGAAAAAATACTAATTTGATGAGAGCGGAAATCAGTTCTTTCCCTGACTGGCATAAGCTACAGGATGCATTGCGCGTGCGAGAATGATAACTCACAATACATTATCAAATCTCCCTAACAATTTATTGTTTCTTCTTTTCTTTCTCATTTCAGTTAAAATCGAGGATCGAGTCTCTAGCTTGGACTCCCTCTCACTGATGGTAGATAACATCAACACACCTTGTACTTTTCCAGGAGGAAAGGAATGTCGGGACAAGGACAAGGGCGCCACCTAGGACCCCAGAAAATCTTTGGGTGAACATGTTAAAGACATTTGGACACTTTGCAGCCGGGACTTTTCTAACTCATGAATATGCATGACGAAATCAACAATTTTAAGAAACTTCTACTGTTAACAATTTATATTGGAAATCGTTCATGTCGAATGAATATGCATGAGGGAATCGACCATTTTATGTCATTTCTCTTCGCAGCTGTGGCATGCGACAACTTGTTGTCTGCAGAGAAATTCGTTTTCCTGAAGAGCTCTTTTTCTCTTTCGGGGAGAACTAAAAGTTGGACCTTTTCACCGAGAATGCAAAATGAAATGCGGTTGGCATGGTTGGTATAAACTATGTAATGTAGCTACATCAGCAACTTCATGAACGCGGCGGACGACCATGTGTGTTTTCAGCACTGTGATTTAGTCCCTATCTTCTATCTTCATTTGTTTCTAGAAAGTGTGGGGAAAGAGGGACATCGGGAGAACGGAACACAGGGTCGGTAAAATGTAAATCTTTATAGGGGAACCCTTGAGAAGACTTTTGGTGTGGGCCCTCATTTAATATCATTTAGAATATGCATTGTATCAATGTCCTCGTTTGGAATGTGCAGTGTTACACTGTCCCCGTTTGGAATATGCATTGTATCACTGTCCTCGTTTGGAATGTGCATTGTATCACTGTCCTCGTTTGGAATGTGCATTGTATCACTGCCCGAATGTTTCAAGCTGTTTTAAAAAGGATGCAGGTTGGATTTTTATTTTGTGTTGTACAAACAGGCCCCTGTTAATCTTATTTAATGTGTGGGTTGTTCACAATGACAAAGTTAACTGATTAAAGGGTTTACAAATCCGTAATATTTCAATTTTGATACAACTATTTAAGAATATTTCACGCTTACATACACTAATGCCCGTGACTTTGGAATACCTGTTCATACCTCTTTTCATGAAATGACTTTGGATACAACTTGCTAAGAATATTTAACGCTTACGTGCATTCATGCCCATGAAGATAAAAAACTTTTGTCTTACTTTTTACACATGAAATAAGTGTGAAATAGAGTTTATATCTATTCTTCTCGAAACTATTTTGATTAATCAAATAAATTTCTAAAAAGATTATATCGAGAATAAATAAATATATCACAATCACTTCATGTAAACAAGAAAGAAAAAATATTCCAACTTTATGGGCAACGGTGTAAATTCTTTATTTTGTTTTTGGCATTTTTGCAAGTTTCAGCATTTTATAATGACCTTTCTAGAATGTTTATGTTTTGAACGAAAATGTTTGCAAACTGGAATCCAATCCCGAACAAACCCAAAAAACACATGTACTCTAACTCGAATCTGTATTTATATACATATACATTTATTTGGTAATTTCCAGTCCTTTCTCGCAATATGCAATATCAAGAATGTGTTTTCTGTACCACAGACGAGTCGATGAAAACACTAAACTATATAATACAAACAGGAGATGGATAAATTGTTACTCCATCATATACATATCAAAATAACTTTTCTTCCAAATATATCATACAAATCAAATTACATGTACTTTTACATCACCTTGAATTATATTTGACATGTTTGATTTATACCCGTATCTTCAAAATTTAAAATATCTACATTTGTGATCAAACTTGAATATAGATACCGGTACAAATGTATATTTGAATCTGTGTGTTTGATATTTTTTGCTTCTCAATTTTTAATGTGACATATCGGATGTAAAATGATAAGGGTGCATGCGTCCATACTAAGTTTTATTTTTCTTAATTAGATTTGGTTTACTTGTTCACTGCCAATAGTACGTTCTGCCACGTATTCTGGCACGTTAATATATAATTATTATCACGAATAATGTACAGTAAATCAAGTCAAGTGAGTTTACTTTGTTAATGTTAAATATTCCCTCAGTATGAAATACTGGATAATGTAATTTTTCATTTTTATCAGTTGAAAACTATGGATGACATTTGTCCTTTTCGTAAGATTGAGAAATTAAAAAATGTAATAAACATGAGTGTTACAAGTATGTTCACCGTCTTTCATTCCGATTGTTCTGTTCGTTCACCTGAATTGAAGGACTTTTTCTGGTCGTAATGGAGTGATATGAAACAAATTTTCGGAAGTTAAAAGTAAAGACCAGTATTGGAAACGCCCCAATTTCAAAAAATGAAATGGAAGCTCTTATTACCAATCATGTGAAAGAATATGTTTTGAATATTACACTACGATACAAATTTTGACGGGAAACCGCCTACTAATTGATATATTTTGTAAATTAGTATATCTCTGACCTGTTGAGAGATACAAATGCACGTGTCGCGCACGTGTGTGTAGTCACAAATACATCTTTCTGTGTACAGTACTTCTAACTTTATGAAGACTTGGCCAAATTTCTTATAATTTTGATGATTCCAGAACCTTGCAGTACACATCAATACTTATATGCTAGATGATCAACCTTTTCTGATCGATTTCACAACATTTCTTTCACTATGCAATTGCATGATCATAACTGGTCTTTAGCTTTAAAGGTGAATGATTTTGTTTGTCTTGTACAATGTGGCGAAAGTGAGTTAAAAGTATAATAAATAACATGGAGATAGAATGAGATAGAGAGTGAGGAGAAGGGGGGTGAAAGGGAGTAGATGAGAACGAGGAAGAATGAGGGAAGAGGAAGAAAGAGAGAGAAAGGAAGAAAGAAAGGAGGGAATGGGTGTGTGCATATACTTATGGGCGCAATTTCTCCCTCCCGGGGAGGGGGTGCTTGACTGGCTTACGCTTCCTGCCAAACTATCAACTTCCCGGTTTCAAAGAAATTAACTTATAAATACAGTTACATGATCTGATTATAGTGAAAATGTTATTTTGTCATGAACTCATGTTTAGGAAAATATGAGTCTCAACGTGGGGTGGCAGTTGCCATAAAATATAACATCTTTAGGGATCTAGCACCCTCAGTCCCCCTTACCCTTCTTTCACGTAAACATATTAAATATGGAGAGAGAGAGAGAGAGAGAGAGAGAGAGTGTGTGTGTGTGTGTGTGTGTGAAAGAGGGAGCGAGAGATGGGAAAATTAGGATTCTCATACATAAAGGGCGATATATGGAGTGACCAATAGACAGAAATATGAAGAAGGATCCCCTATGCCCAATATTCCAAATCATTTGTAGTATCTTGTTTATCTTTAATCATAAATCTGTCAATTGAGCAAAATATTTAAGAATTTATCTAAAAACTGATTTATGAACAACTGAATGAATTAATGAAGGAATAAATAATAAATAAACACACCAATTGGCAGGTAAAAAATATAGAAAGAAAGAAAGATAGAGAGATAGTGAGATATAGACATATCAATATGTGGAGATAAAGGAATAACAATTTAATTAACTGACAGATCTACAGATATAATAACGATATTAGCTCCTGTTAGAATATGAAAAGTAAAATTAAAGTGCCATGAAGTTTAAATCATTCGAGGGCGGGGATTGGAGTAGGGTAAACTGGTAACGTGAGAACCGATTTAAAATGTACGATAGATTCTTTAAAATTAAGCCATTGCACCATCATGGCTGCAGAAAATTATTTTATTTGATTATTAAAATATATCTTATCAGGATTTCATGAATCAGATATGAATACAAAGTCTACTTTACATCTTAGTCCTGAATAGAAAATAGAAATAGATAATTATATTTTGGTAGAAATCAATACAACTGACACATTGAAGAATCTGAAGAATTTACCTATAGAAGTAATAAAAAAGTTAATATTTTATTAAGATATGATTATCCTTTCATCATCAATACGGCAGTCACTATTCCCCTCTCTAATTGTGCTAGTTTTTTATTTTGTTCCTCTTCATTATGTGGCTTTACTTCATCAGACATGTGATATTTTTCTCTTTCTTTCTCTCTCATCATCTCTCTCTCTCTCTCTCTCTCTTTCCCCCTCTCTCTCTCGTCATCTACCCTTTGCAACATAATTTCCAACATTGTATGGTATATCTTTAGAGTTAGAGAGAAAGAAAGATAGATGACTGGAGATGGAGAAAGCAAGTCAGGCGGTACGGAGGTGCACAGAGTTTTGAGTTCAGTGACAGACGAAAATGACAACAAATATGGAAAAATATATAAATGTAAACAATGGAAGGTAGAAAAGGGAGACAGAGAAGTAAAGAGAGAGAGAGAGAGAGAGAGAGAGAGAGAGAGAGAAGCTGTGGGTGAAAAAACGAGGGAGAACGGTTGGAAGGGGAGAGAGAATAAGAGGAAAGGAGGGGGACAATTAGTATTATAGAGAGGGAATTTGGGAGGAAAAACAACTTTAAAGTGTTTGTAGAAAAATCCCAAACTAAACACACGAGCGGAAGAGGGGATTGAGGGGATGAGAGAAAGAGATGAAGGGGAGAGGGGGGGGGGGGGGGGGTTATAGTTATATTCCACTAGCAAAGAACCAGTGACCGCGCCAGAGGAGACCCTACCAAACTCTTTGAACTTTCGCGACAACAATTCTGATTCGCTGTTCACAAACGACATGGACGTCGAGCGTATCACAATGGACAACAGCGCCATCTATAGTGTCAAAGTGAAGAGGTTCTGAAATTTTTTCAAAATGCCTAAGGTAATACAAAGGTATACTCCATAAAATATATACCTCAATCACGCGCGCTTTCATTCTCTCCCCTCCTCTCTCTCTCTCTCTCTTTCTCTCTCCCTCTCTCTCTCTCTCTCTTTCTATCTCCCCCTCTCCCCTACTCTCCCTCTCTCTGCTTACTTAAATGTTAGTGATGTGTTTTTTCCAGACTTGGACCTCCAATCCGTCTAATCTCAATCCCCCCATTCCGTCGGTCTCCCACTCTCTAACTCTCGACCTTTTCCATCCTCACCCCTTCTCTCTCTCTCTCTCTCTCTCTCTTTCTCTCTCTCTCTCTCTCTCTCTCTCTCTCTCTCTATCTCTCTCTGCCTATCTCTCACCCCCCCCCTCTCTCTCTCTCTCTCT